CTTTATAAATGGGAATTTATTGTTGGTGAACAGATGTGGGTCGGGTATGCAATGTTGTGGCCTTGTTTTCACTGGCTGCTCCCTGATTACATCCTCAGTGTTTGCTATCAGAACACATTGTTTTTCTATTTTTGTCTTCAGAAACCAAACACTAATAGTATGCACAAAATTAGAGCCTCGGTGGTGCAGCAAACTAAGTGCTGTTAAGTGCTAGCACTTAGCTGCCAGCTGTCTGCAATTAGTGTGAATTCAAATCTCACCAGGCTCAAGGTTGACTCAGCCTTCCATCCTTTCGAGGTAGGGAAATTGAGGACCCGGATTGTGGGGGCAATAAACCAGCTTTGTATAGAACAACACCACTTGGGGGGGGGGGGGCGAAAGCCCTAATGAGCAGGTATATACATAAAAGTATGCAGGCTATTGCTATAATGCATTGTAAGCCACCTTGAGTCTACGGAGAAGGGCGGCATATAAATTGGACTAATAAATAAACTAATAAATAAATAAAATTAATGATAGGAATCCTGAGATGACACATTTCTGCCACTTGATAACTTTTGTGTTGAAAACCTTCATCTGTTTCTAGAGATAAAAAAGGAAAGATTATAAACCTGGTCATTATTTCCCACTTAAGAACATTCCCTACCTCCATTTCAAGACTTTGTCAAGTAAAGGTTCCCCTTCACACACACAAAAATTGTCCTCTAATTTCCAGTACGTCAAATAAGTAACCAAATAAAAAATATCATAAATCTGAAACATTCTTTCCATTCATTCTAATATGTTCTGCAGCTGAGATAAACTCCACCTGCTATTACTACCAGGGATTGCTTTTTGCCTAGCTGTTCTTTTACTTACTTTACCATACTTTGCCTACGGTACCTGGGTCCAATGTTATTGGTATATATGTATATCCTGCTAATTGGTTCCAGTGGGCTTATGAGAATTTATTGCTTTCTGTTCCTATTTAATATTAAATGGGAATATGCAGCACTGGTGAGATTGTCGATATCACCCTCAAGAAATGAACATAAAACAGCATAATTGTAGCCCTGTGCTAATAATCACACATTTCTCTATATTCTGACTGCTTACTTGTAGAGTTCCATAGGTATCCACATGCTCTTTGGAAGTTTATGTATATAAATTTTTGAATAATAATATATTATTCTTTAATTTTAATTTTACTCTAGAACAATTGAGAACATATTTCAGAAATCTACACATGTGAAGTCATTGTTGAGCTCTAGCTCCAGAAGGGCTTCAAAGGAAAGAGATTATCTGGAGTCTTTTGTGTTGTATTTAAGGATCTGGAATCTGAAGAAAAGTTCAATGTTTCCAATAGTTCCTTGCATGACATCCTGTGTATAGCAGTTCTAATAACAACCAAGAATAAGTATATTGCAAAGATTGCTGTATAGGGTATGAACCAAACTCTCTAGATATTACATTTCTAGACTTTGGAAGCATAACCTTATGGGTCCCTGAAGAATCTCAGCCATATTTTGTTTCAAAGCCTGGAAGAATAAGCCAATCAAGTAGCTAGATTCCTAATCGGACACTCACTCACTCACTCGTTTTTTTCAATTTATATGGCCAAAAACTCTCAATCTGCTATTTTGGTCAGCTAACTTAAAATTAAAATACAGGACAAAAATGAACATTAAAAAATCCACAATCCAAACATGATCACATTCCAAAATTCCAGGTAGGTTGCTCCAACATTTTAGATTTTTAAAAAAACTTATAGAAGATTAATAGTATTCTAGTTACAAAGAAAATTCTTGTCACCCTCCTTTCATCTTCCATCCACAAACATTATTTTATTCTCCATTTTCATGTGATGTGATATTTCTACCACTTAGCACAAATGTGTCTAAATGCATGTAAATCTCTTTCTCTCTTTGCTGTGGCAAAAAGACCCAAAATTCTGATTCTCTTTTCTGCAGCAAGAGTATGTTTTTCTTTCTGACTTCTGTTGCTGAATATTAATATAAATGGCTTCTTTAGATTTTCTCTCTTATCCCTTCTCCCATGTTTTTATGTCTGTTGGGAATCAGTATGCCATTTTCTGGTTTCTGGGTGTTTCTTCCACTGACTGAATGTGGAACTGTCCATGCTCAGTGCCTTTCTCCCAGTGAATTAAATCTGATTCTTTTAGAACTAAACAGTATACCAACTTTGCAGACTATTACTGCTTCTTATTTGGCTACATTTGCCATAAACTGTCAAATGCTTATTAATAAACTATTTTTATACCATTAGTTAATACATTTTTAGGATAGTGCTTAGTTATAGTTGAATTCTTGTTCAGGAACAGTAGCATAATGTTCCCTTCAGAACTGCTGCTGTGGCAGACCACAATTTGTAGAAGCACAGGATCTGGATTCTGACTAATACTAATTTCAGCTTATTTTAATCATTAACCTTCTCCCATATTTCTGCAGTTCCAAACTAGCTGCATGCAATTGTATTTGGTGACCTGTAAGTAATCTTCTATGATTATCCCTGCATGTATTACTGGTTTGTTTTCAGATCTTCACAAAACATTTTGGGCAACCACATTGGATTCTGCTTCTCCCTTTCCACATGATATTATTTCCAATTGTGCTTCATGTTGTTTGTTTGTTTGTTTGAAAAAGTATTTATTTAGAATTCCTTTTCCCAATAATTTCTTCTTCCATGGAATTCTATTTATTCCTGACTTTTTAAAATCTATTTTTACAATAAGGTAAAGTAAAGGTTCCCCTCACACATATGTGCTAGTTGTTCCCGATTCTAGGGGAAAGTGCTCATCTCCATTTCAAAGCCGAAGAGCCAGCGCTGTCCGAAGACATCTCCGTGGTCATGTGGCCGGCATGACTAAATGCCAAAGGCGCATGGAATGCTGTTACCAAAGGTGGTCCCTATTTTTCTATTTGCATTTTTTACGTGCTTTCGAACTGCTAGGTTGGCAGAAGCTAGGACAAGTAATGGGAGCTCACCCCGTTACACAGCACTAGGGATTTGAACAGCTGAACTGCAAACTTTTCAATCGACAAGCTCAGCATCTTAGCCACTGAGCCACTGCACCCCTTCTTTACTCTATACTCTAGTAAGACTATTGCCTTACTTTTACAATAAATATATACCAATATATTCATCTTAAAAGTAAGTCTTCAGAATCAAGCTTGACTCGTATTTAACTACATGGACACATCCATGTTGTCTTCTTTGCTATCATATGGAGATGTTTTGCCAGTGCCGCCTTCTACCATGTTTCTTTTCAGTTTTGAGTTTAGTTTATAAATTCCACATTTGAGTAAACCAAAGAAAGATACTTGCAATATTTTTCCCTTTTGATTCTTTTTTGTGAAGTGGAAGGAAAGATGAAAAAACAGTTAATCATCCTCCTTTGCTAAAGATTCCTCATGGAATAATTTCCTAAGTAATTTTGGTTTTTCCTCACATTTAAGGTCAGTGATTTTGGAAGAAAACAGGGATTATTTGTCTCATTTAACCTGATATACCATACTGCTGGATAATTATTCTATTTTATCTGTGGAAGATTTTATGTTGGTTAGTAGCCTGGAGAAAATGGCAGACTACACAATATGCTCTTTCCATTTTCCCACCACTCCCCCTTTGTATCTTAAATTGGATGGGGAAAAAATCAAAACGTTCTCAAAAACAGAAAACAGAAAAGAATGCATTTGAAGACTAAGCTGGGACTCAATGTTCTGAGGTACCATAGCCCACAGATTTATGTATGTTAGATTTTTGAATGATTGTCAAATTCTGAAAGTAGAAATTAATATGGGGATATGTCAGCCAAGGTTGACTGACTTTGTATAGTTAGGACCTTTTGAAAATCACATTTTCTTGGCTATAAACTATTTAGTGTCCTAGCATTTTCATACTGGTCTGGCAACAAGAAAGGAAAATTAGAGGTAATAGACTGCAGGAACTAGGTAAAATAAATCCATCATCATTTCTGTTTACCTCATTCAATGCAATTTGTATTTAATTCTTTTTCAAGGGCTCTGTGTTAATTTACTAACTGCTTATGCACGCCCCTTACAGACCTCTTAGTTGATGAAAGTCTCATGAATCAATGGCACTATGTGTTTTCTATCACTTTGATAGCTTGCCTAGGAAATATTGCAGTTAGGATTAGAACAGGGAGTTAGCATCCAAGGCCATATAAACTATTTCCCTAAATAACAGAAAGGTCATCTAAAACAGGTTTGTTTGGCACTTATCCTTTTTAATACTCATTGCACCTCCTGGAGACAATTAAAGATGAGTATTGAGGTACCACTGTAGTTTGGTTTCAATGAAACTGCACTTTCTCTTTCTTCTGGTATATTTTTTTTTAATTTGATTTATATGCTGCCCTTCTCCAGGGCGGCTTACAATGTGTTAAGCAATAGCCTTCATACTTTTGTATATTTATACAAAGTCAGCTTATTGCCCCCACAAACTGGGTCCTCAATTTACCTACCTTAGAAAGCATGGAAGGCTGAGTCAACCTTGAGCCTGGTGAGATTCGAACTTACAGTAATTGCAGACAGCTGGTGTTAATCACAATGCTATTAGTCTGCTGAGCCACCAGGCCCCGTATATTATTATTATATTGATATAAATTGCCCTTGAGTGAGTTTATTTTGCATAATATGATTATAATCAGTATATGCTAATGGATAACCAAATCAAAAACAGGAATCAATTAATTTATTATCTTGGGAGCCATCCAGAATTAGATGAAAGATGGATAGCTATTTAAATGTTTTAAATAAATAAATAAAAAGAAAGTTAATTCAAGTCTCTGTACCATTTATAGTAAGGTTTTTATATATGTTTAAAACTAGAATTTTAAACTTCTTAGTTAGGAATAGGCCTAATTTAACACAAGTGTAGTCTTATAGAGGTTTCTACTATAATATTTTTTTTGAATAATATGACAATAAATGCAAATGCAAACATGCACACAAAGAAATAATACGACACAAATATTGTGCTTGTTAGTATTATTAGTCATAATAGCAACTGCAAAAGTGATAGGAGTACTTTAAAGCTTAGTTTCAGGTTGTTGAATGAACCATACAATTCTCTTGGAAATTGCCATCTCATTTTCTAAAAGATGAAAGGAATTTAAATTAGCATAAAGTATATAATTATGCCAGTAATTATAATTAAAGAAATCAGATGTAATTAGAGTTAGTAAAGAAAAGTTCAAGCTGCAGAAACACCAAATTAAATCCTCATTAGTAGAATAAAACACTTTTTTTTTTTACTACAGTTATCCCATCTGGAAAGAATTCAAAGTTATACTAAATAAAAAAGACAGCAATGCAATATCCCCAAACAAATTTAGCAACAAAGAGGTGTGAGATTTAAGATTATTCTTAAAAGCCATTATGCTGTCTGAAGACTCTCGTAAATAAGGAACTTTCATCGAGTCCCAGAATGAAAGGGCTGGAAGGGAACTTTATAATGGTTTAGTTCACCCTCATGTCCCCTGCAAAAATCCACTCCACAGCATCCTAGACAGATGGTCATCCAACCTCTGTTTAAATGCATCCAACGAAGAAGAACTGACCCTTTCCCAAGGCAATTGGCAGTCCTTCAGAATGTTACTGACTGTTCTGTTCTCAGCCTCCCCTCCTGGTCATAACTCCAAGTGGAAGTCTACCCTGTGCTTCTGTGCATCCATAGATAAAAACATGCAAAGATCATGCAATATCAAAGGACTTCAGGAAGACACACATGCAGCATGTTACCTTGATATGCAGAAGACATTACAGATACATCTTAAGGTCTCTATTCATAAAGGTACTGAAAAGAATTCCAGAAACCATGTTTTGTATGCCTTTCCCTTCTTTACTTCCTGCTTTTGTCTTTGGTTTCCACCCAATTCTTTAAATCTGATATAGATAATATAAGACTTAAATATCTTGAATATGGAAGATTTGAATATCTTGAATATTCAAGATATTCATAGATACCTTGAATATTCAAGATATTCAAATATGTTGAATAGCTTGAATAAAGATCAGACTTGAATTCTTACTGAATCAACATGGTTATGCTGAAACAATTTTAAATTTAGCGCACAAATTTCCCTGCTTGTCTAAACTGTTAATAAGACAGATTGTTTGCTTTTTGTCTTCTGTATAGAATCAAGTAGATGGAGCAGCATACACAAAAGCTCCCAAGAGTATGGGAGGAGGTAAGACTGCTATGGATAGAGGATTTAGAAGCCTATCCCTTATGGGAGCCAGAGGGGCTAGGTATGTAAGCAAACTATAACTACAAATCACTCTAGCTATTGCGCTCACCATCAAGCACTCATAGGGAAAAAAATTACACAATAATTGTAGTTTTAGCAGCTATAGCAGGAATGCATAACCTGCACATCGTGAAGTTTGTGGGCAATTCCCATCAACACATCTCCATAATAAATATAAGGATTTGTATGAGCTATCATTAAATATGTAGAGAGCACCAACTGATATTCAAACTGATAGGGATATGACTTTTACTGCTACTTTAAGTGTATTTTATGTTCAAACCCACAGTAACTCATTGGTGGTTTATAAGTAGGTAGTTACCCCATACATGGCATCTGCCATTCCTGGATTTTTATTTTTATTTATTTATTTTGCCTCTGTAATTGTATACTCTTGAGTAATTGAGCCAGTTTAGTTCTGCAAGTCTAGAGAGTAAAATACTGGTGCCTAGACAAGTACAACAATTGCAAATTATCAGGAAGCCAGACATTTTTGGAATAAGTCCAGGTATGCTAAATAAAAACCCCACAAATCATACTGTGGTTTAGTCATAGTTTAAATTGGAATGAAGCATTAGATATATATCTTAATCTTAATATTTATTTTTTCTATGGTCTCTCTGCATCTTTTATGTAGAATTTAAATTTCAAAATAATGATCTTAGCAACACATTTGAAACTGGGGTGGTAGGATACATATCACTTATCATATGAAGAGAAATCCAACAGCACTTCCCAGTCTTCAAGGATTATCATCTTCTCAGCTTTAAGTCATGTGGCTCTGTAGACACCTAATGTCGGTCATTGCCTCATTCACTGGTTTACTTTTCTAGCCTGCTTACCTTACATAGCCATGAGTTGATTCACACAGTTCTCCAGTAAAGTAGTCCTTCCTAGAAGCAGATCTTTAGATGTTCCATGGTTCGTGATAAAGAAAGATACCAGTTTCAAATCAAGGCATCATTTTTAGGGCACTTTTTGGGGAATCCTTTTAAGATACACAGAAAGCACATTTTTAAAAGTAAAAATGTTCTATTTTCCAGTTTTTATGAACTGATAAATAGTGTTATATATTCTATGATATGAGCAGAGATAGTAGCTTTCTCTTCAAGCTAATAGTTTGTCCAGATTAATAACATTAGTTGACAATTTTACATCTTACCATTAAGAGAATCTCATTTTTATTTGATAATTTTATTAAACTTACAAAGTATAAAATACAAAGGAAAATAGTGAGAAATGGGAAAAGAAAGAAGTGTAGGGTAAAGCAAAAACAGGGGAAAATATTGACTTCTGATTATTTTTAGTTCAGTAGGATAACATTGCAGTAGGATAACATTACAGCCTCAACTTTTAACTTTGACATACAGGTAGTCCTAAACTTACAACCACAATTGAGCCCAAAATTTCTGTTGCTAAGCAAGGCAGGTTTTTTGACCCCATAATCCCTTGCATCGGGGTGGAGTTGGAGCTGAGTGTTTACTGGCCAGATGCCCTTCCTTTCGCCGATGTGGAGTTTGCAGCAGATATATTCTCATTGTGCCGAGAGAGAGAAATATCTGCCTCTACCTAGGATCGAACTCACAGCCTCCTGATTATGAGGCGAAAGCTCCACCCCAGGCCACCGCACTCCTCTTGCTAAGCAAGACAGTTGTGAATAGAATAGAATAGAATAGAATAGAATAGAATAGAATAGAATAGAATAGAATACAATAGAATAGAATAGAATAGAATTCTTTTTTGGCCAAGTGTGATTGGACACACAAGGAATTTGTCTTTAGTGCATATGTTCTCAGTGTACATAAAAAGACAAGATGCATTTGTCAAGAATCATACGGTACAACACTTAATGATAGTCATAGGGTACAAATAAGCAATCAAATCATACTAGGAAACAATATAAATCATAAGGATACAAGCAACAAAGTTACAGTCATGCAGTCATAAGTGGGAGGAGTTGGGTGATAGGAACAATGAGAAGATTAATAGTAATAGTAATGCAGACTTAGTGAATAATTTGACAGTGTTGAGGGAATTATATGTTTAGCAGAGTGATGGCATTCGGGAAAAAAATGTTCTTTTGTCTAGTTGTTTTGGTGCGCAGTGCTCTATAGCATCGTTTTGAGGGTAGGAATTGAAACAATTTATGTCCAGGATGCGAAGGGTCTGTAATATTTTCACAGCCCTCTTTTTGACTCGTGCAGTATACAGGTCTTCAGGCAGGTTGGTAGTAATTGTTTTTTCTGCAGTTCTAATTATTCTCTGAAGTCTTTGTCCGTCTTGTTGGGTTGCAGAACCAAACCAGACAGATGACAGACTCAATAATTCCTCTGTAGAAGTGAAAGTGAAATTCACTCTGTTAAGTGAATTTTGCCCCAATTTACGATCTTTCTTGTCACAGTTGTTAAGTGAACCACTGCAGTTGTTAAATTGGTAACAGAGTTGTTAAATGAATCTGGCTTCCCCATTGACTTTGCTTGTCAAGGGTCATAAAAAATTATCACATAACCCTAGGACACTGCAACCATCATAAATATGAACCAGTTGTCAAGCATCCAAATTTTGACCATGGGGATGCTGCAATGATCGTAAGTGTGAAAAAGTGATCATAAGTCACTATTTTCAGTGCTGTTCTAACTTCAGATAATCACTAAATGAACTATTGTAAGGCAAGGATTAGGGATGCAGTGGCTTAGTGGCTGAGCTTGTTGATCAAAAGGTCAGCAGTTCAGTGGTTCAAAACCCTAGTGCCATGTAACGCGGTGAACTCCTGTTACTTGTCCCAGCCTCTGCAGTTCAAAAGCACGTAAAAAATGCAAGTAGAAAAATAGGGACCACCGTTGGTGGGAAGGTAATAGCGTTCCATGCGCCTTTGGCATTTAGTCATCTGGCCACATGACCACGGAGATGTCTTCGGACAGTGCTGGCTCTTCAGCTTTGAAACGGAAATGAGCAAACCCCCCCCTTACAATCAGGAACAAGTAGCACATATGTGCAAGGGGTAGCATAGCGTAACATTTTTTAAGGCAAGAATTATCTGTACTTAGTATGTACTAACCATTTCTATTACAACAAACATATCTAATCAGCAAAACCCAAAGTCAACATTATATTTTTTTCCATCTCAAGCACAAAATCCAGAAGTGTGTTCCAAATAAAAATGAAGTTGGATGTGTTTCTTTGATTAAAGCAGTTAATTTAGCCATCTCTACTAGTTCCATCACTTTTTCCAGTTATTCATCCATTGTGGGAATTAAAGTATCTTTCCATTTTTGTACATAAAGCATACTTGCTGCTGTCAACATATATAATAATAAGATTCCAGATTTTTTAAAGTTCTTTGCCTCTAAACTTAAAAGAAAGATCTTGGATTTAATTTTTATATTCACTTTAAGAATCTTCTGTATTAAAATATGAATTTTACCTTTTTATCTCTTTGCTTTATCACAAGTCCATCAAAGATGATAAAAAATTCCTTCTTTACATTTACATTTCCAACATACGTTTGAAATACCTTTGTGTACACATTTTCTTTTACAATATAATTTAATGCAAATTTTAAACCTTTCATCCACATGTTTTCCCATTGTTCAAGCATTATATTATACCAAACATTATTTGCCCATTGAATCACATAATGTTTCACATAGTCATTCGCCAAAGTCAATTTCAATAACAATTTATAAACCTCGGCATCATTACCACGGCATTCAGTTTCAAATCCATTTTGTACAAAGTCAAACCTGTAATTTTTTCCTTATCTAATTCAAATATTTCTTTCACTTGTAAATATGTAAAGTTTTCCTTATCTAATTCAAATATTTCTTTCACTTGTAAATATATAAAGTAGTGCTAGACATGTTCTATCATGTCTATCAAAGACTCCAACTTTTTGGGGGGACTTGAGGACAGGTTCACCTTGATTAAAAAAAATATTATTTGACAATTGGTCCACTGGCTTAGCATCACATCATTTCTTTTCTTTAAAAAAGGCTTCTTAAGGTGTCACCAAAAGAGGTATCTTCATAGAGAGCCTTGTTTTATATTTGTTCCAAACCCTTAGGATGATACATCTAACAAAGTGAATCTTAAAATCAACATTTATAAAAGAGAATTTCATTTTTTACATTTCTTTATGAGGAGAACATTTCCTATATTTGTGTCTAATTTTAAAGCATTTTATACCCTTCAGGTGTTGACCCACAACTTCCAAACTAATTTGCATGACTGAGTAGGAATTGTGTAAGCTGCTAGTCCAATATATTAAAGGGCATAGTATGCCCTTAAAAATTCTTGGAAATCCTTCTGACATCAGTTTAACTCAGTACATACATAAATCAGTAAATAATTACCTGAAATGCGCTATATACCTATACTAGAATTAACCAGTCTGAACTGCAAAAATCCATATAATGGCAGCAGAGAGATACTTTTTTGCTCCCTTCTAGTGGTTCCCTGGAATAAATGTCAGATTCCAATCAAATGCCAAGTGCTAAAAACTTCCAGTCAAATGACCGCTATCTGAAAAAATTCTCTTTTACTAAATCAAAATCATAGAAAGGCTAATGACCATGAAATCAAACCCTGGCTCCAGAATAAAATATCCTATATTGATGGTTGCCCTACCTGAGTATACCTGGCAAAGGGAAGCTCATCATCTCTTTGGATAACCACTTCTATTGCTGAACTATACTACTAACACACAACTGTGTTCTTGTAACTCAAATATATTATTCCATACCTGGCATTCTTAAACATGATTTCTAGTTCTGACTCATCTGTCCCTACTCCATATTAGTATTTTAAAGTGTATAATGTATAGTAAATAAATATAAATTAATAAATTATATATATATTGTGTGTGTATAATTAATCCTACAACAGATCAAACATTTATCTAATCCAACATTTCATGTTCAGAGAACAATATCTCCTTTATATTCTTTAAATTCTGATTAAAAACAAGAAAGAAACAGGAAAAGGCATGGATTTGTTCATTAAGAGGAAATTTGAGAAATGCAAGAAACTGGAGACAATAAATTAATCAGTATTGAGATATATGTGATTGGTTTGATGTTAAGCAATTAGAGTGATTATTTACCAGGAGACATTTACTTTATGTTGTATTGGTATATTCCAGAGAAACTGCATCAACAGCCCAGAATGAAAAAAAAAGACAACATACATTTATAAATTGTGCAACATCTGTTTGTTTCATCCTAGTCATAATTGATTCTTGGGGAAAGAGGAGCCATTCTGTACCTCAGAACTGAATATAATCACACAGCAAGAAGCATTTTTCACTAAGAATGTATCTGGCAAATATTTGCCTTTGACTGAGTTATGAAGACCTTCTACCTTTATTTGTTATTTAGAGGTCTCCTACTTCTTTGAACTGCTTGCCTGCTTTCCAGGCCAAAGCACATGTTTCTCACAGGCATCTTTCTTTGAGTCTCAGTTGGAATCTGAATGTGCTTATCTGCCCTGATTTTGCCTTCACGTGAAATGCCTTCAAGCTGCATTCTCCAATTACATTCATCTGGATACTTTAAGTCTTGGTTTTGAAGCAATTTCCAAATTGCTTTCTGTCATAAGTTTGTAAGTTATGGTTTGTGGATAGTTCTGAGTTTTGAGCTGCATTAACTCTTTAACTATTACAACAATCAGAGACAGCATCAGAGCAAAATATAAAAGACAAGCACTACAATAAACCTATTTAGTGTTGGCAGACATAGTTGTGGTATATGAACAGTCTCAAGAGATGACTCATATTTTGTTTGAAGGAAGCTACTGGCAAAAAGAAAATCCTCAGAGCAACAAACTGTTATAAACATATAGGAGGTTTATAGCACTTTAGCAGAACTTGCAAGCACATTGGCTTTGACTCAAGGGTCTTTATTCTTCACAGGAAATTCTATGTATCCACTGTATATTGTCTTAGCTAGCAGCAGCCATTATGCACACTTCTAACAAGAGGAGAACCTCCTTGCCCGAGAGCCTTAAATGCAAAATACTGTGACCAAAAGCTATGTTTGTACATGTAAATCTTTCCTGCCCAAACCTAGACTGCAACCTATTATTTTACTTCTTATGTGCCAGAAAACGCACCATGCATGTTGAGGATGCATGGAAGATCTTTGTCCTGCCATGTTATCTTCACACAAGGTTTTATACTCATGATGAAGGGGTAGGCAGAAATGGTGCCCATTAAACCATAGGCTGATTTTGATTGTTGTGCATAACTTAGGATTCGTTTATATCCTAATTCTATTTGCTTTCTATAGTCATTTGGGACTGAATATTTAAAATCCGTGAGAGTAATTGTAGAAATGCATTTACTGTGGCTTCCTTATTTTATCAAAATTATATATTCAAAAATAAATTCTGATAAAAAAAAATAAAGATGAAGCATGGTCAACCCAGTTGTTTCAATTTTATAGATAGAACATTTCTTTTCCCACTATATACTCACCCACCTACTCACATTAATTGACTCACATATTCTGTTGATGCTGTTACTGATCCAGGAATTTCTTGGGGTCTGCTACATTGCTACATATAACCATTTGTAGATGTTAACAATCACATCATAAAACCCTGTATGACACCTAAAAGCAAGTTTGGCACCTTTAAAAAAATAAACCGTATGTGAAACAGTTTAAAGCCTTGAACATTATAAATATTCTAAATTTATTTGTGAAACTCATTGTTCCTCTCATAAATATCCAGTGCTTTTTTTTTTCTTTTTTTTTGAATTTGTCATGTACATTCAGCAGAAAAATAACTCACCTATCATCTGCAAACAAGGTAATTTTGTTTAAGGCTTTTAATATTCAGTTGGTCCAATTTGCTAAGACCAAAACTACTGTGAACTACTGATATTTTACAATTAATTTTTTATTGATGCCTAATTATAAAAATCAGTTTTATAACAAATACCTTATGATATATTAGCTGTTCATGACTGGTGAAAAGTCTATTTCCTAGTGTAATTCCAAGTAGAGTTAGGAGAATTCAGGGGTATCCATAGAAATGGAATCAAAAATGTCAAAATCATGCAATGGAAGTCCCATCTGAAAGGTTGGAGCTTTGATCACATGGTAGTGACTAACAACTTGGTATTTTTTTTACCACCACTCCCTCTGAGCACATACCTGGGAAAATGTGCTAATTTTAATTCATGTTGGATTATCACTCTCATCTTAAAATAATTTTATAAAGGAACTTTGTAGGAAGATTCATCTCTATTTTTATGCATATTTATAACATTTTTATTTGCTGGTTCCTTGAAAGACTGCTTATTTCCTATCATTTCTGCCTGCTCAGTGTGTTTCATCAGTGGGTGAACTCCAGGTTCCTTCCATTAAAATTGCCATCTTGTGGGATTTAGGAGGTATGCTTTCCCTGTTGCAAACCCACCCTAGCATCTTCCCAGAGATAAGAATTGTGCCTTCTCAGTCTTAGTCTTAGTTATTAGTCTTAGGCCTGGGTTGATGTTTCTCATGGTTTAATGCCCCTTTTTGTGGATTTTGTTAGCAAAATATTTTAGTTTTGACTGCCTGCTGGTTTAGATTTTCTGGGAGTTCTTCTGGGTTATTTTAGTTTTGTATGCCACTAGGAGTCCCTTGGAGTTGTGCAGCCAATACATTTAAATAAATAAGTAAATAAATAATTTATTTCTTCTCAATTTTTATTTATTATGTACTAAGATGCTGAGCTTGTTGATCAAAAGGTTGGTATCATTTTGAATGATAAATAAGTTTGTTCAAAAATATTGAATTCAATTGAGTATATGTGTGCTTATGCTGATCTGGATATAAGAACTGGTTTTTATTCCAGCCTTATAGAATTCAAACATAATAAGGCACCAGGCTAGGATATTGAAGGCTATTTAATTCTATATTTAATAATGAAATAAGGGATTTATTTAATGCAGAAGGAAATAATCTGTGCCTTCCGGTATTTGGTACAGTTGCTAGACTCCCTCAACAATTAATGTGACAGTACAGAAATGTTTAAAAGATTGGTAATGTATTGATTTTAATTTAGTTCCTGAAGTTCTCCTGAGATTACCAACATTCCCATCAATCAGTAATAGGTTATACTGACCTATAATTATAGATCAGCCATTGTGCTTCATTTATTTAAAGCACAATTAAGTTATGTGATTTATATCAAAATAGATAGAGAACTTTCCAAGAGGAATTTGATAAACACTCTATTCCAGTTTAAACAGGTATGCTCTGGAACTATTATGATGTTAAGCTAAACCTTTGAGACTGTGCGTGCATGTGTGTTTTCCTGTCTACATTGTTTCTACAGCTCTACAATCTCTTAGACATGATCGCAGTTCACACCTTGGCAAACATATGATTACAATGTGTGTATTTAGGATTACGATGGTACCTACATCTTTATAGGATGAAGATCCTATCTTTCAAAACCACAGACCAAGGCCAGATGACTGCTTATTGAACAGTACATTTTTCATCTCCCCAAATGCATTTTATATGAAACCTTTTCTGAAAAAAAGTCTACCAAAACTCAAATCCTTTGATTCATGTGTACTGTATAAATGGTGCTTTTGGTATAAAGAGAATTTATATTGCTTCTCCAGGATGTGTAGATATAGTATACATTTCATACTTAGAAAGCCACAGGTACCACAAACAAAATTGTAGGTTTCTATGGAGAAAAGAACAAGGCAACAAGGTAAAAAAAAAAAGGTTAAAAATATGAGGTCATATTAGTTTCGATTTCTTGGATTCTTTTTAGCAGAGAACAGGGATCCTCTCTTTTTTTGTATAATTATATGGTAATTCTAGCCAATTCAAACCTAAATTTCCAAATGTATATGCAATGTATTAGCAACGTAATATATTACATTCTGCCGGTGCCTAACCAAGTCTGGAGAATGCAAGCTTGACTGATTGAATCTAAATCAAGGCTCACTGGCAAATGGTAACTCTGAAAAGACCCACTTACCAGGACAATTCGTTTTAAAAATAAGGAGCTAGATTCATTGGACTGGACATTACACTAAAAATAAACAGCTGGACTTGCTAACCAAAATATGTACTAAAAAGAAGCATGTGGACTCATTGGGTCACAATCAATGCTGACAAAAAACATCTAGGTTTATTAAGCTATTGCCACACTTAATATAAATAAAGTGATAAACTGCTGGCTGAAGTTGATGACAATTGGCTACTGCCCTGCCTACACAAATCACAAATCCAGGTAAGTAAAAAGAGATGATTCTCCAGGGGAAGACTACTTGTAATTTTCATAGCTCTTGACAACACCAAGTATTTCACTTTGCTTATCAAGGTATCTTTTGATGCTAATTGAATCATGATGGATAGTTGAAAGGTCCTCTAGTGTATGACTGCTATAAAAAAGACAACTTCCATGTTTGCAATCAGTAGAAAAGTAATTATTTGTTCAGTTTTATAGGACAAAGTTGTATGCAAACAAATTTAAATAATAGTAATGAATAATCACGGATATCAATATGTGATTGCTTTGGGCTAATAACTAGTTCTGTATTGATGTAATGGTAAGATTGAGAAACATTATTTCACATGCTCAAGATTTATTGAAGAGTTTTACTTATCATTATATTAGTTTTCCTTATTTTATGCATAATACTTTTTGTTTTATCTCCTTTTGTTTCTCTTTCCTCTTTCCTCTTTTTATGGGTTTTTTTTTTCCTTTTTATATTTTTTGACTAAAGAAGCACATAAAATAAAAAGAATAACTTTAACTGAGCATCCATAGAGTAGATAGGCCAATCTTCTATTAAAACCTCCCAACACTTTAATTTGCTTTCAGAAAATACTTTACACTTTGAGCAAGATTTCCACTCACAATCTTAATGAGTAGTTTTTCCCCATTCCCCATTTCATTTGTATCTGTTTTTCTGTTTTAACTTCTAATATATATACAGTATATTCACAAGATTGGAAAGATGAAAGAAAAGAAAGAGATGAGTTTAATAAAATATTAAGCATCATTTTATGCTGCAAGAAGTATAGCCTAATTTTTCATAACATTTTCCAGCCAATTGAACCAGTTTGCTATTGTAATCACTTAAAACCAATAAAATATCCAACTCCATCTTTATTGCATTTTAAAATTGTCTGAAAATATGCTTTGCTCAAAGAATGGACTTTTCCTTCCTTCCTTCCTTCCTTCCTTCCTTCCTTCCTTCTTCCTTCCTTCCTTCCTATTTATCTAAATCTTGGCAATGTAACAAGAATATACATTCTAATGCCAAAATGGATATCTCATCCTTGCTTCAACTGATCCATTATGTGATGTATTTTAATCAAGCTTTAGAAATCTCTAGTAAAAACCAAAGGCGTGAAATGGAAATATGATAAAACTATACATATTCGATGAACTCAAACTACGAAAAAAGCTGTTCTAGACTGATGCCTTTCTGCTTACAGGACCTTTTAAAAACACCCTGAACTCTAACAAAGACTGAACCAAATTTAGATATTTTTAAAAGTGTGTTTCCTTTTTTAAGTGGACTAGATATTAGAAGACTTTCATCTTGAACTGCTCCCTTGCATAAAATCTGTGTGTTGTTACATTTTTGAAAAATGAAGTAAACTCAATGAAGAAAATTACTTTAAGCTACACATTAAACTGTTTCATTATATGCCTACAGTTGTACTGTAAATCAGTGCAAGACTGATTTGAGGACAAGAATAAGTGAGCTTGAAAATCAGACTTACTATATATTCTGGAACACTGACATTAGCTACCTTGAAATCAATGGAACTATTCATGTGCCTAAAATAAAGCCTTTGTTTGTAGGAACAAGCTGTTTAAATGTTTTAGTAAACCACCCTAACATTTGGTCCAATAATTGAAGACTTAAGCAACATAAAAGTAACAAAGTTTTTTTTTTGAAGGAATAACTAGCTATTTAAAAAATATATCTTTAGCATGTTAAAACATCGTCCAAAGTGGTATTTTTTATTTATAATTGATCTACCATATGTGTTGCATAACTGCCTATTAAAAGATTCCATTTTCATTTTATTTCAAATGGTGCTGCTTGGCAATTTGTCCATAGTTGTTCTTCCAACTGCCTTAACAACAGAGTTTAGGAGCATTTTGTGAGCTCAGAAGCAAATGGAATAATCATTGCAAAGACCAGTGCCAAAAGCTACAATTTCCTATAATAAGAGACAAAATTTGCCCATTAGCACCATAGTAAATATATCTATGCTATTTATGCATTGTGCCTTGATTAATTTGATTGTCAGCTTATTGAATCAAAGAGTGTTCTTGGCAATAGGCGATAGATTACTGATGTCAAGAATTCTCACCTGCAAGCACCCTTTTATCTGAAATTACTATTCTGTAGAAAGACAAATACATACCTGAATGAGTGCGTGGGCGGGGGGGGTATTCTTTGAAATTCTGTAACTTGTGGGAAATACAGCAAAGCAGCCTTCTTTGTTACATGAATATTGCCACTGAAACAGAATAATAGAATAACAGTTGAAAGGAAGGCTTTCAACTTGGAAGGCTTCTAGTCCAACCT